TCCTTCCCAGCCACGGCATCCCTTTAACTGGGTCTTAATGCCAAAGCGGGGAAGGACTGCCCAATTATGTGACCACTGTGGTTGGCTGTCACAGTAGTCACATGATCAAGAGCCTTTCCCTTCAGATTCAGACCATTACTAGAGACTGGGAGCTGTCTTTGATGGTTCAGTCACTGTGCTGGGATTGTAGAAGCCCAAGCCATCCATAGACATTTGAGCATCAAAGCCCACCCTATTTGCCACCACACGTATGCATTACATGGCCAGTAAGAGATCAAATCTAATTGGTTTATGTTTAAATACAATTACTATAAATGCGTGAATACGTTTCAGTATCAGCCTCTTGTAATCCCTTGTACAGCAAGACTGGGGAAGGGAAAAGAAATGCTTTCAGCCAATCAGGTGAGCTTTATGTAGCCACAGGGGGGCAGGAAATAGACAAAACCTATATTGCTTAACCGGAGTAGAGAAAACTCAGGTCACTGACTGGCTGTCCTCATGCCAGATGCTGCTGGCAAGTAACTCTCCTAGTCTGGCAATTAAAACAATATTAAACACAAAAACAGAAATGTAATATTTTCCAGCTTACCTATCATTAGATATGGTGACTGCTTTTTTTTTCCTTCTTTAGGCTTTTTTCTCTTTGTTTTTTTCTTGGTGATCTGGCCAGTAACACACCTCTTGCATTAGAGTTCTCCCACTCAGGATGAAGGAGCACAGGGGATACAGCAGACAGTGGCATTTTCAGTCTGGGGGGAGGGGAGTTTTAGATGTACTAGTATATTTGAAAAAAAAAATGAAAACCAAACCCCAGCTAATACTTTATAAATGGTTATAGCAAGCACGTTTTTCTTTTCCTTTTGGGATAAAGGTTTTAATGGGTTTTAATAAATAAATGCTGATCATTGTAAATACCCCTTCCAGTGGTAAATAGTTTATCTCATCCATGTAACTGATATATCTGCAAGAGAGCTTGTTCTTTTGAAAAAAAAAACAAAAAAAAACACACACTTACTGACTGGATCACCAGATAAAAATAGAAGAAAGAAAACCTAAAGAAAGAAAACGAATACAGCCATCACATCTAAGAATAGAAAAGTTGCAATATAATTGTTTGCTTTCAGTTGTAATATTGCGTTAACTTCCTTACATAGATTCACACAGGAAAGACCTACTTTGAGTCCATTCACATTATTTATTTTAACTGAAGCCCTGAGGAAAGAGGAGTGTTTTCCTACCCCTGAAATTCACTGGCTATTTTTTTTAGTGTAAACCAATAAATTAATTTGAAATCTTATATACAGTTGTGTCCAAAATTATTCAACCCCCAATGCTGTAAAGGGGTTTAGGGACTATAGTGTACATTTGGAATTGTATTCAGAATCAAATCCTACAAGGACGTTGTAACTACCCAAATGCAACTAAAATGACATCAATTGTTTATGTAATACAGTAGTAAATGGTTCTTATGTGGTTTCTTCATTGCCACAATTATTCAACCCCTTAAAGACTACCACTCTGAAGAACAGAGGTTCATACAGGTGCTTTCCATCAGGTATTGAAAACACCTGTGGATGTCACCGAGCAGCAATCAAGCATAATAAGCACCAATTAGGCAGCTTTAAAATGACTGTGATACTCAGCTCCTTCTAGACATTTACTGGTGTGGTTACAAACATGGTGAAGGCAAGAGAATGGTCCAGGAAGACAAGAGAAGAGGTGATTTCTCTTCACAGGAAGGGCAATGGCTATAAGAAGATTGCAAAGATGTTAAACATACCAAGAGACACCTTAGGAAGCATCATTCGCAAATTCAAGGCAAAGGGCACTGTTGAAACGCTACCTGGTCGTGGCAGAAAGAAGATGCTGACTTCGACTGCTGTGCGCTACCTGAAGCGTAGAGTGGAGAGAAGTCCCCGTGTGACTGCTGAGGAACTGAGAAAAGATTTGTCAGATGTGGGTACAGAAGTTTCAGCCCAGACAATAAGACGCACACTGCGTAATGAAGGCCTCCGTGCCAGAACTCCCAGGCGTACCCCCTTGCTGTCTCCAAAGAATAAGAAGAGTCGACTGCAGTATGCCAAAAGCCATGTGGACAAACCACAAAAGTTGTGGGATAGTGTTCTGTGGACTGATGAAACAAAATTAGAACTGTTTGGGCCCATGGATCAACGCTATGTTTGGAGGAGGAAGAACAAGGCCTATGATGAAAAGAACACCTTGCCTACTGTGAAGCATGGTGGAGGGTCAATCATGCTTTGGGGCTGTTTTGCTTCTGCAGGTACAGGGAAGCTTCAGCGTGTGCAAGGTACCATGAATTCTCTTCAGTACCAGGAGATATTGGATGGAAACGTGATGCAGTCCGTCACACACCTGAGGCTTGGGAGACGTTGGACCTTTCAACAGGACAATGATCCCAAGCATACCTCCAAGTCCACTAGAGCATGGTTGCAGAGGAAAGGCTGGAACATTTTGGAGTGGCCATCGCAGTCACCAGACTTAAATCCGATTGAGAACCTCTGGTGGGACTTAAAGAAAGCAGTTGCAGTGCGCAAGCCTAAGAATGTGACTGAACTGGAGGCCTTTGCCCATGAAGAATGGGCGAAGATACCCGTAGATCGCTGCAAGACACTTGTGTCAAGCTATGCTTCACGTTTAAAAGCTGTTATAACTGTAAAAGGATGCTGTACTAAGTACTAAGATTGAATGTCACTTGGGGGTTGAATAAAACTGATAATGCTGTGAGCACAGAAAAGACATTTGTGGTTATTTCATTATAACTGTTATGTTATATTTGTCTGACCTACAAGTGCCTCTTTAATGTAAATGTAAGCAAGATGACTGAATGATCAAAAGCAATGTCAAACTGGCCAAAACACTCAATTTCAGTGGGGGTTGAATAATTTTGGACACAACTGTACTTTGTCTTGACACTCCTTCCATTGGTGCATGATTTTTTCCGCTATGTTGTCCGGCAGGAATATACAAATCTCAGGATAGGATGAACAAAAATATGTTTCCTTTGACATATATAAATTTCATTTTGTGCATTTAGCTGTTTGTCTTGGCTTCAGCTTTAAGCTTTTCATGTTCACATCTATTGTGTGTCTAAAAATGATAAAACATAATTTCCCTTTAAGACATGGTTTATGATTAGTTGCTGTGGGATACCTCACCATGCATGTCTTCATTGCTCTTTGCTTTATATTATTACATAAGCCTGTGGGGATTTAGAGTTATTACTGTTATTACAGATAAAAAAAATTGTATAAGAGCTATTTCTGCTTTTAATAAAATGGAGTTTTAAGGAACCGGAGGTTTAAGAAGACCATGATTAATAGATTAAATCTGTATTTTTTTTTCTTCAGTCGGGTTAACAGTCTCTAACTATTAATTAGTCTGTTTAGGCACAATATTTAAGCAGCCTTCGGTTACGAAATATAAAAGGGAACACATTATTACTCCACGCGAGGCAAATGAATTAGCACAGCCTAGCAGTTGATGGCTAATAACACAACAGTGTCAGGAGGGAGAAAAGGCTTGAGTGCAAAGGTAATAATTACAGAACAAAAGTGCGTTTTTATGTAAGGATAGGAGGTGAAGTGCCTGCATTCAAGCCTGTTCACCAGTTTATTGGATAATCACATGTGTCAATGTTGGGCATTCAAGAGTGTAGCCGGTAACCTAGTAAAATCTCGGATGGAATGGAAGATAAAATTAATATCTTCTTTCCAAAGAATAGGATGTTGTGTTCTTATTCCCAAAATGTTAGGTGCAGCTCCTTTGGAAAGGGAAAAAAATAATAAGCAGCTTTTCAATTTATAACAACATGGGAGGTGCATACAGGGAGGTGCATACATAATTTTTTTTGTGCATGCACAAAAAAAATTATAAAAAAAAAAAAACTGCAAAAAAAGTGTTTGCTGTAACATTTGTATCAATTTATAAAATATACATATTTATGCACTGGGGGGAGATCTGTATTTCAATACAATAATGTGTCCAATTGGTAACCATTCTGCTGGATATAACTTTTTAATGCTGCTTCCCAGTGGACCTTTAAGTAAGCTTTAATGCTCAAGAGGCTCAATGGTGTAACCATTGTGATTTGATCTCACAACAGTCATATGATCAGGAGCCCACCAGGTAGCTCCCAATCAGAAGCCTTGACTGTGAGCTATCGGTGACATCTTCATCAGGTGTTGGGGGTGCAGTGGGTATGCTCTCAGCAAACAACTTTATGCTGCCATGGATCCATATGTGTTAAAGTCCATCTTTCTTGCCATCACATACAGTTGTGTTCAAAATAATAGCAGTCAGACATCACTAACCTGATCAATCACTGTTTTTGGTAGAAATGATATTTCTACATGACAAATAATTTACTAGCAGGTGTAGTAGAGTAATAGAAATCCAACAGACCCAACAGTCATGACATGCATGCTGCTGATTCTGTGTAATTGAATCACTAATTGAAAGGGGCACGTTCAAAATAATAGCAGTGTGGAGTTCTATTAGTGAGGTCATTCATTCTTTGAAAAACAGGTGGCAATTATTGCCCTTATTTAACCACTTGCCTACCAGGCACTTATACCCCCTTATTTACCAGGCCAATTTTCAGCTTTCAGCGCTGCCGCACTTTGATTGACAATTGCGCGGTCATGCAACATTGTACCCATATGAAATTTTAATCATTTTTTTCTCACAAATAGAGCTTTCTTTTGGTGGTATTTAATTGCCACTGGGCACTTTACTTTTTGCGCTATAAACAAAAAAACTGCAAAAAAGTTGAAAAAAAAAAAAAGTTTCTTTGTTTCTATTATAAAAATTTTCAAACAGGTAATTTTTCTCCTTCACTGATGTGCGTTGATGAGGCAGCACTGATGGGCACTAATAGGCGGCACTGATGGGCACTGATAGGCAGCACTAAAGGGCACTGATAGGCAGTACTAATGAGGTGGCACGGATAGGCGGCACTGATAGGCAGCACTAATGAGGTGTCACGGATAGGCGGCACTAATATGCAGCACTGATAGGCGGCACTGATAGGTGACACTGATGATTGGTACTGATAGACGGCACTGACTGGCATCACTCCTGGGCACTGACTGGTGGCACTGACTGGCACAACCGCTGGGCACTGACTGGTGGCACTGACTGGCAGCACTGCTGGGCTGCACTGGTGGGCAGCACTGGTGGGTGGGCACAGGTGGGTGGCACTGGTGGGCACATGTGGGTGGCACTGGTGGGCACAGGTGGGTGGGCACAGGTGGGTGGCACTGCTGGGCACAGGTAGGTGGCACTTCTGGACACAGGTGTGTGACACTGCAGAGTGGCACAGGTGGGTGCACTGCTGGGCACAGGTGGGTGATCTGCTGGGCACAGGTGGGTGATCTGCTGGGCACAGGTGGGCGGAGCTAGTGGGCGCACTGCTGGGCACAGGTGGGTGGAACTTGTGGGTGGCACTGCTGGGCACCGATCATCAGGGCACTGATCATCAGTGCCCTGATGATCGGTGCCGATCCCCGCTCTGACAACTGCCGGTTCTCGGCAGTACTTTCCTCACGATCTGACAGCGTGAGGAAAGTGCAGCCGAGAACCAGCAATTGAATTTCCCAGTGATCAGCGTGTCATTGGACACGGCTGATCACATGGTAAAAGGCCACTGTGATTGGCCTTTTACCACATCACGTGATCAGCTGTGTCCATAGGACACAGCGATCACGGAGATCGCCGGGTGCGCGCCCCCTGGGGCGCGCAGGAGAGCGCGTTCTGGGAGGACGTCATATGACGTCCACCCAGAACTGGCCGGCCGCAGTGCAGCCGTCATTTGGCTATCTGCGGTCGGCAACTAGTTAAGGAAGGAAGGCAGCAAATGTTGTACATTGTCAGAAGAACAGCGTACCTTGATTAAAAAGTTGATTGGAGAGGGGAAAACATATAAAGAAGTGCAGAAAATGATAGGCTGCTCAGCTAAAATGATTGCAAATGCTTTAAAATGGCAACCAAAACCTGAAAGACATGGAAGAAAGTGAAAACTACCATTCGAATGGATAGAAAAATGTCAAGGACTCAGCCAACAATCAGGTCCAGGAAGATCAAAGAAGGTCTAAAGTTCCCTGTGAGTACTGTTACAATTAGAAGACGCCTATGTAAAGCCAAGCTATCTGCAAGAAGCCCCCGCAAAGTCCCACTGTTGAAAAAAAGACATGTGCTGAAGAGGTTACAATTTGCCAAAGAGCACATTGACTGGCCTAAAGAGAAATGGCGCAACATTTTGTGGACTGATGAAAGTAAGATTGTTCTTTTTGGGTCTAGTGGCCGGAGACAGTTTGTCAGACGACCCCCAAACACTGAATTCAAGCCACAGTACACTGTGAAGACAGTGAAGCATGGTTGCGCAAGCATCATGATATGGGGATGTTTCTCATACTACGGTGTTGGGCCTATTTATCACATACCAGGGATCATGGATCAGTTTGAATACATCAGAATACTTGAGAGGTCATGCTGCCTTATGCTGAAGAGGAAATGCCCTTGAAATGGGTGTTCCAACAAGACAACGACCCCAAACACACCAGTAAACGTACAACATCTTGGTTCCAGACCAACAAGATTGACGTTATGGAGTGGCCAGCCCAATCCCCGGATCTTAATCCAATAGAAAACTTGTGGGGTGACATCAAAAATGCAGTTTCTGAGGCAAAACCAAGAAATAGAGAAGAACTGTGGAATGTAGTCCAATCATCCTGGGCTGGAATACCTGTTCACAGGTGCCAGAAGTTGGTTGACTCCATGCAACACAGATGTACAGCAGTTCTCAGAAATAGTGCTTATACAACTAAATATTAATTAAGTGATTCAAAGGAAAGCAAAATCTTCAAACATTTTTCAGTTTATATAGTGAATGTTTGAGTTTGTAAAGAAGAATACAAACACTGCTATTTTTTTGAACAGTCTAATATTTACTTTTCTTCAATTTTTTCAGAGGAACAACACAAATTTGATATATTTTTCTTCATGTTTTGATTTGGAATAGAATGTGTCGTGTTCCCAATGCATTTGTGTGTATGAAAATAAAAGCTATTAGAAGGATTTTGAGCTTTATTTACTTTTTTCAACACACTGCTATTATTTTGAACACAACTGTATATGCATCATTAAACTGGATACACATTAAACATTTTTTTTAATTCAACCAGCGGGTTTAATGAATAAAAGAATGACTCAATTCCCCCATCCATATATTGAAGGTGGATGATGGAATCTCTCCTGTTGTGCTATTTTGTTCTGACCGCATTAAAAGCTATAGCAGTCAGCACTGACTGCTCAGGAAAAAACCTGACAGGCTGGTTGGGGAGGCTTCCCTGCCTTCATGCACTGATCAGTGCTGCCAGGTATAGCCAGCGGCACTGATTTCTCAGGAAGAACCCACCGGGCTGGTTGTACAGAGGACAATGGATAGATCAACTCATGTACAACCATCCTGCCCATATATGGATTAAAATTTCGATTCACGCATGGCCGCCCTTATGTAGTCAACGATTGGTTAGAGCTGAACTCCAGGCAATGGTAAAACTATTAAAATTGTGGACCCCCTCTTCCTCAGCTGATTACCATTATCTACAATCCTGCAGTCTTTCTACCTGCCAGATGTGTTTGTGACAAACATCTTCCTGAAGCCACTCTAATTGTGGTCTCCAACCTGTCTTGTCACCTCCTCTCTTGCCAACACTACCAGCGGTCCTGTATTGGACATGATCATGTAGGAGTGCCCACCCATATTCCAGCACTAGAGAGTGGAGAAATGGACAGCTGACTGTCTTGTTAAAAGAAGTATTCCCTTGCATTGAATCATCTCCTAGAAATAGAAGCATTATATTCTGAATTATCATTATATTCTTCATGGGGGAAGGGGGACATTTTTATTGTTTTATTCTTGCCTGGAGTTCAATTGTATAGTATCTCTTCTCTCATGAGAAAAACACATTGCTGTCCTCCTGAAATCACTAGCTCCCTGGCTGTTATTCTGTACCTTAGGTTTTATTATTTTCTGTATCACTGATCTGGAACAAACAATGTACATGCCATAAAGTGCTGCATAAATTGTTGGCGCAATGTAAATGTCTGTAATAAATTAATAAATAATTCAGGAAAACCTCCATGATCTTTAGTAAGTCAACCATGACTATGTGAAAGATAAACAGGACACAACTACTGAGCAGTACTGCTAATCAAGGAGCTGAACCTGCACATGTAATAAACAAATATGGCTGCCCCCAGAAATTCAATAAAGTTCTTTTGGATGTATTGCACTTGCCCAAGGTCTACAACTGGTAAAGGGACTCTGTTGCTAGATGCAAAAAATGAAGCGCTTCAGTAAGGTGTGTGTGTGGTGGGCGCTCGGTACGGAAGGGGAACTGTTTATTTATAGAGCCCGTTTGATCCAATCATCCATCCATTGAATCCAAAGAAGGGAGTTCCTGTAAGCAGGCACCTGTGCCCATTCATCCCTAAAAGGGACCTCTGGCAAGCTGCATCTTCTTACTCTCCTGTGGGCTTAGAACAACACCATCCTGAAGGAGGATTATTCGTGTCCCTGACCATACCCCTACCTGTTAAAGAGACCTCTACTGGTTCATATACTGAGTACTTAAATTACGCATCTGGTGAGTGCGTAATGTTTACCACACCATTTGGAGAACCGCCATTGGAGTTTAATGTCATTCCGCACCAATTTATTTTATCATTATTCATCTTAGCACTGCACTTATTTATATTTTTATGACAAGGTTTTTTATATTGGTTACCTTGAGTGTTCTAGCTGCTGTTCGAAGAGTGCTCACTTTATTATTTATTCAAATTGAATTGTAACAGAATAAAATTTTTTCTTATTTTTCATCACCAAAAACATGCAGCTGATGGGAACTATGACGAAATTATTTTTGGCAACCAAATTAACACTGGTGTATTTTCACGATTTTATTAATAGTGTTCAAAGTGAACCTATGGAACGTTCAAAACATTTAAGGTTAAGAGTCTAGACAAAAGCAGTCATCACAAAATGCCTTCTATTACCTTTATAAAGCAAAAAGGCTTCCACTAGGCCCTGATCAGTCACTTTGTTACTGGAACCTGATTTTTACTAAATCCATGACAAAACTCTTGCAACTGTCCAGTAAGTCAGAGGAATGGTAGTTGGTAACCCTAAAGACAAGGCCAATATCTAAGTATAAATAAAAGAGGAGCACTAGAGAGGCTTTTCTTGCTAATAAAGGGAATTGCAGACATCACATGTGAATGTGCTTAGGCAGAACTTATAAAAGCATAAAATGAAGTAATGTACAGGATCATGTTTCCATCATGCATCCATATAAATTAAAAGGGACAATAATAATGACCTGTTTTCCATAAACACCTTGCAGCATGCTCCAATTCATGGAGGGGGCCAAGTGCAGTTGTCAAGATCCTTGCATCACATTCTGCATTCCGCTCACCTAAGAATAAGTCGACCTCTGAGGGCGTCATTGCGCTTCACTTGGTTGATTTCGAGACCTAGTTCAAGCAAAGCTGAAATTTAGAAAACAGACAGACAGCTGTCCAGGCCAAACACATCAGAACTGCTCCATCTAAGTTACAAAGATATTTCTTGAACCATTTTTTTTTTTTTTATATAGATAGATAATAATGCACATAAATGTATGGCTTCCCACGCAGTAGGTGCTAAGAACTGCTGAAGATGTGGCAGGATTGCCCAGAGCCTTTTACTGTAAATTATTCATTGTAAATTATATGTATTTTCATATGCAAATATACACCCAGCCTCTTTCAATGTGTTATGCACTTAGCACACATCAGCATAAAATCCCTGTGCTGTTTGCACTTGAGAGAAATTAGATTAATCCTAGAAGAGAAATTAACTATTCAAACCCCCTTCACTGTAAATAATCTGTTCATTTAAAGTACACATGTATATATATATATATATATATATATATATATATATATTAGTGAACATATTTGATGCATCCTTTGTGGACTTCTGTTTCCCACTAAAAAAAGCATGCAGGGGAGCATCAATGTAGCACAGATGAATGAAAATGTGCAGTAACCAATGGCAATCAGAAGCCACATGCTAGTAACCTGACATCTGATTGGTTGATATGGGTTACCATCTGCTAAGCATCCCTGTTGACATTCTAATTGTTTTTACAATTAACCATAAAAAGTAAGCTTGATTTGCATGCATATTCCAGCAGAAAGGGTTGTAATAGTGAAAAAGAGATAGCAATAATTTGCATTGTGTTACCCATAACAACCAATTGGATTTTAACATACTGGTGCCAATGCATTGAAGTGACACATCTCACTTTTTATTTATTTTTCAACTTTTTTGAATTGTCCCAAAATG